CTTTGAAGCATGAAGAAACTGGCTCATGGAGTCCTGTGAGCTGCCCCTGGGGCTGTAAGTGTGGGAAGGTTTCTGGATTTGAAAGGAGACTGTATGCTTTCATTTGCAGTGAGCTCAGCCCAGGTGAATTGCTGGGGAGAATTGGTTTGAGTTCCTTGAAGATTTAGGCGCTCACTTTCAGCCTGTGGTGACCGATAGTGGTTCTAACTGGACTCTCTGTCTTGGAATAGATGGCAGGCTGTGGGTTGATGTGCTGTGGGAGGTGGGGTGTGGGACAGAAAGACATGAGAGCCTTGGGCCCTGTCTAGAGGTATTGATTCCAGGCACCACGTGCTGCCCTGGGGCTCAGCCAAGAGATGAGGTCATGGAGGACGGAGACAGTGACTCCTGGGGCCAGGGTGTCCTGGCCCAATGACGTGATCGTTAAACATGAGGAATCTCTCTCTGCCTGGAAGAGACAGGCTCTCTCCTTCCTTCTCCTTGACGACTCCCTTACTCCAGCCTATAGTTCCTGGGGAGGGGTGGCCTGTGAGCACTGCCTTGCTGTTGTGCTGTGTGACCTTGGGAAAGTCACTGCCCTTCTCTGGGTCTCTTCGTGGAATTCCGTGATTCAGAGAGGACTTTCAGTGGATACTTTTATCAGTCTACACCCAAGATCCTCAGTCTTTGGAGAGAGTCAGTCAGGGAGGCTGAGGTGTCTGGGAAGGGGGATCATTAGCAGCCTCCAGCAACTTCCCACAACTGCCTTAGTTTCCCCACCAAGTCCTTAGGGACAAGAGGTTGCTCTCTTCTCAGCTCCCTCTGGACTACCCCATTGTGGAAGCTGGAGTGTGCAGTGGGGAGCTGGAGTTCCAGGCTCTGCCACCTGTAGGCTATTTGTCCTCAGGTAAGTAGCATAAACTTACTATGTCTAATTTCCCATTATGAGGCTGTGGTAGGAGCTGAGAGATGTCAAGTGGGCAGGTGGAAACCTGGCCGTAAGTTGGTGCTTTTCTCCAATCACAAGTCTTCTGGGGTCTTCCTGGCCTCAGATTGGGTCCTGGCTCTGGTGCTGTTTAGCTGTGCGATCTCAAGTGGGTTGGTGTCCTTCTCTGAGCCTTGGCTTCCCCATCTGTAAAGTGGGGAAAATAATATCTCTCAGACTGGGTTGCAGGAGATACGAAGAGATGCTGTGTGGGGCACGCTTTGTCACAGGACTTGGCACTGGGGGCACTGCGGCATGGATGCTAACTGTTGATGTTCAGTCTGGCTGGTAGGCCCAGCCCTGATCCTACCTTCCCTCCCCTCAGGTCAACCCCCAGGCTCCTGAGAGTATCCTATTATAGAGAACTCAGCTATGGTCAGCACATATCATCATAGGGTCGTGGATGGTGTGCTAACCTATGGTAGTGACCATCATAGCTGTCACCTTTTCCAGAGCTGTGGCCTAGCACCTGCCATCTTGGCCGTGAATCTCTTCAAAGTTTCCATTTTAACCTAACTCAGGGGAATTAAAGTAACTTTACGGGGGGAAACTCCAGGTAAACAAAAGACAAGAAAATTCGCCTGGAATTCCCTCTAACAGAGATGATTTTTGGCATTTCTATCTTGTTTTCTATGCCCATGCATACAGACTTATGCTTAGAAAGAAGAGACTGTGCCAGTTTTCATTTTTACTTTATAGAGTGCACATCTTTCCATGTTTGTAAACATTTCTCTACAGCATCATTTCATACAGCCACATCATATCCTTGACATGGTATAATAATACACAGAACAAAACCCTCTATTGATGCTTAAGTGTTTTCTAGATTTTCTCTAGAAAATGCTCCTAACCACCCTTGCAGCTAAAATTATCTAGTCAAAGAATGTGCATTTTTAATGTTTGATTCTTAATATCAGTTCATATTCCCAGGAGCTATGTGTTAGTTTTTATGCAAAATGTTCTGGGATCAAAAGTGACTGGCGCTTTGCTCCTTCAAACACAATCCCCCATGCTTTGGAGGAGCTGATACCATCTGGAGAGGCAGACTTCTTTCTTGGGAATCCTTAATCTCAGCCTCATCTCCTCCCACTTTCTACCTCTTCCCATTTAGTCTAGCCATGCTGGTCACCGTTATTCCTTGAGCTTACCAAATATGTTCCTGCCTTAGGGCTTTTTCACCTGCATTTTCCTCTTTCTGGACTCTTTCCTCAGGTAACCATGATCTTTTTCTCAACAACTCAAATTGTATTTCTTGAGAGGTTTCCCCTGGCTATCCTAGTTAATATATCCCTGCTAACACCCATCTCTTTATTTTCCTGTTTCTCTTCATCATAGTACTAGTACTTACAGAAATTGTCTTTCCTATTTATTTGTTTACGTGTGTAAGGTCCAGCTCTTTCAGGAGTATAGTGGGGCAACAAGTGAAGGTAGCAATGAGTACTAGCTAAAGGTCAGCCTTGATCTCTCCATGACAGAAAAAGCAGGAGCCTTCTCTGTGCCATTCAGTCTCCTTAGAGCCTAGGCCAGTGCCTAGAAATAAGAATTAGAATAACCATGAACTTGGGAGCAGGTGAACAGTGACCCAAGAGTGGATGCTCTTGTCCTCTTGTTCAATAGAACACATAGCAGACAGCGTGAGGGGCAGGGAGTATAGCAGACCTGGTTTGTCTCTGAGTCTCAGCTTTTTTCAATGGAAATAATGCTTCCTGACTACCATGTGTGCCCTGAGGAAAAAAGGTGATGATGCATGTAATATGCCCCGTCCTGTGTCTAGCACATGATCATGAAAAAATTTTGAGTTCTTGCCATTGATCTGTCTGGGGTGCTGTTCTTTGCACTCAACACGGGTGACCTCATTGAGTCCTCATAACATCTGTGTGGGGGATAAATTCTATGCTATCACCATTTTTCACCCAGGTGAAATGAGCCTAGAGAGGACATTGGCCAAGTTCACCTGGCTTGTGGGGCCTGGAGCTGGGATTGCCTGGAAACCTGGCCCTTTGTCTAACCACTGTGCAGCCCTGCCTGTGAAATGGTGGGGATGCACTCATAGAGGGAAAATCCCATCTGGCCGTTGATATCCACAGAGGCCTTGGCAATGTGTACCTTCTCTACAACCTCAGTTTCCCCATCTATAAAGCATAAACACATTTGTGTTGCTTGCATTTGTTAGTGATTCTTTGGTGGATAGTAGTAGGGTTGAGTCTTTGGGAAGCTTTTGGCAGGAAGGGGACTGCAGCCCAAGTTCAGGATAAGGAGGAAGCAAATGATGGAAAAGAAAACACAGGAAGGATGAGGGTCAGGGTCTGAATCAGGCACTTACCACGAGGGTTCTGTGCTACCCTCCCCTCTCCATTAAAGATGAGGTGAGAGCCCACCTCCCCCTCTGCCATGGCCTGCCCATGGTTGCTCAAAGAACTGCAGGGGTAGAGTGGGGGTGGGGGTGGCTGGGCCAAAGTGGAGATGGCCCTAAGCCATGGACAGGCCACAAAATAACTCAGGAATCAGAATGGTCTTGTCACACTGGCAGGAGTCATGCAAAGTAAATTTGACTAGTAGTAAATGTCAATTCCAGCATTTGGGTCCAAAGAGCAAGTTGCTTTGTGGCCAGAATCAGAAGGTATGGCTTAGCTCAGTCTTTGTGTGGTACTGACAAGTAAATGTGCCCCAGACCATACAGTTTAAGGCATTGAGCCTAGAAGGAGGAAGGTGATTGCTACCTCCACCCTTATACTCTGTAGAGTCACCTCGATGCTGCAGCTGACATCTTTGAGAAAAGGACAGGTATAGCTTGAGATGTATCCAGAGGAAGCAGACAGATGGTAGAGACTTCACTTTATGGGGAGTAATTGAAGAAGTTGGGTCACTCATCTTAGAGGGGCAGCTCCAGGGGTCCTGGTCACTACTATCCCCAGTGTCTGCAGAATGGTCCTGAAATGGAATGGGTAGAGTATAGGCAAGTCTGTGGGTTGGAGGGCAGGGGCAGGACCCTATATATATATTTGTGTGACACTGTGGGAGGCTGGTAGCTATCTCTGAGTAAGTGTTTTTTCTTAGTTTCAGTTTCTGGGAAAGAGATGGGCTATCTTGGGAGATATATTTTCCATCCATCTGTCTGTTTGTCCATCCGTCCATCTGTCCATCCATCCATCCATCCATCCATCCATCCATCCATCCATCCTTCTGTTCATCTATCCATTTATTTGTCCACGACCTACCCACCCATCCATCCAATATTTATTCGGCCTTCATGCACTGGCCTTATGACACAGCAATGAAAAAAGGCACCATTTCTACCCTTGCAAAGCTCATAGTCACAGCCAGGCTGGAGTAAAGACTAAACAGATCATAATACCTGGTGGGGTGAGTGCCCGGACAGTGAACACCCTGACCATAGTAAAGAGACTGCTTGCTGAAGAGGAATCTAGCTGGCAGATGGGAGGTTGGGCAAGATGAGCTCTGGCTCTGTTGGTAGGAAGAAGCAGGTTGTCATGATGTCCCTAATCTCAGGCTGTTGTTAGTGGTACAGACCCTGAGGTCTAGCCCCCAGTGGCCATCAAAACATTGCTTCTAGGGAGCTGAATAAGGTCCTTAAATATCCCAGCTTGGATCCACAGAGAAAGGAAAGACAGTGTATGAATGGGGGTCTTAGACTGCCCAATTCCCTCAACCAAAGCAACTTGAACTTTCTTTTACATCAAGTGTGAGTTGTAGTTTGAGGACAGGGTTCCATGCTTAAACAAGCTGGAGACCCTAGTTTTCTCTAGTGATCCTCTGTGGATTTGGCCTTCACAGGACCCATTTTACCTTCTAATGGAAGGTTTATTGTCTTTGGGGATAATGAGGGTTGAGGGAGGATTATCACTCCAGGCTTCAGACATGAGCATATGACTCAGGCCGATCAGAGAAGAGCATGCCCAGACCACGGTGATTGGTGTGGGTGGTCAAGGGGTGGTCATATGACACAAGACAGGCCAATTAACACCAGTCCTGAGGTTCTGCTTGTGTCATCAAGGAGCTGCTTCTTGCTTTCTAGGGGCTGGAAGCCACTGAACTGCAAGTTGGGAGCTGCTGGTGGACATTTTGCCACTACAGGGGAAACTCTGCCAAAGAATGAAGCCACACGGACCGAAGCAGTGCTAAAAGAAGAAAAGAGATAGTCCTGATGACAGCTCTTAGAAGATGTTCAGCCTTGTCTGAATCCGAATCTACCACCGAGCTCTTCATTTGCATGTGCCAATATTTTCTACTTCTCCATTTTTAATTTATTTTTTTCCTAATTTTATTGAGGCATAATTGATGATTAAAACTGTAAGATACTTAAAGTGTACATTGTGGTAATTTGATATATGTATATATAATGAAAGGATTCCTTCCATCTATTCAAATTAACACACCCATCACCTCGTATATTTATCATTTTTTTGTGTAAGTTTGTGTAAGAACTTTTTTTGTGTTCGTGTAAGAACATGTAAATTTTCCATAGTGGCTGCACCAATTTATAATCCCACCAACAGTTCACATAGTTTTCTATTTCTCCATTTTTTGAAGCCAGTTTGAGTTGACTGTCCTTCGTACCTAAAATAATCCTGACCACTACATCCTCTGGCACTGTACCTATAGAGAAAACTGAGACCCAGAGGGGGAAAATGATTTGCCCAAAGTCACCCAGTGAGCTGGTAACAGACATAGGATCTAACCCAAGCTTTTTATCTTCCAGCAGGCATTCTTTTCCTTCTAGCTTCCCATGCTTTATCCTTCTTAGAATGTTTTCTGAGTGGGGTAAGATAACAGGGGGCCAGGATCATCCAGCATCAGGCAAGACAGGGGTCTCTCTAACCAGCAGGGGCCCCTCTATGCACTGGGAGGATGGGTCCTGTGGGCAGTGGATAGAGTTGGAGCGAGAGGAGGGGTACCCTGCTGTTTTTGAGGGCCAACTCAGTCATAATTCAGCTTGGAGGTGAAGCAATGGCTTCTCACAATTGTAGAACCCCAAATTGAACATTTGAAATGCCTCAATATTCAGCTTGTGCCTGAAGTTCAAACAATCCTTTGTGGATCGCAGAGTTCTTAGGGTCCCTTGGTATCCATGGTAGATGAGCCAAGGGGAAAACTACTGCAGTTTTCACTCTTTTAAGTTTTGGGGATTCCTTAAATGGTTTTCTTGGAAAATAAAAATAAGAATTTAATCACTAAAAAAGTTTGAAATACACTAGGTTCATGTCGGCAGCCATTTTATAGATAAGAAAACACGCTCCAGGCAGACTCAGAACTCTGCCAAGGACCTTCAGGAGGTGGTACTAGCCCTGGAACTTTGGTTTCCTGACACTTTCCACAGCCTTGGTACACAGGCTTGCGGTGTGACAACAGCCAGACTTGTGCCCTCTTTGAGCCTCCAGAGGATGAAGTGGTCTCTGGGAACTCTTCAGCTTCATGCTCTGTGTTCCCAGCCACCTTCTGGGTTCTTCTATCTTTGAGACCATTTTAATTGAAATGAGAAGTCATTTCTATCTTTACAGAAAGAATGGATGAATCAGAGGGTTGATCAGTGAAGGGACTAATGCAGTTCCCCAGCCAGCATCGTCATTCCTTTGTGCCTTGAATGAAATTCCTCTTCCATAGGTGCTTTTCAGGTAAAAAAAAAAAAAAAAATGGGGTAAAGAATCCAGAGAGTTGGATTGACCCTGATAATATCAAAGTGTTAATTTCTGAGCTCATTCCTGAGCTGTTAGGGTCTGGAAGACTTTCTGTAAGCCATTAATAATGCATTTTAATAAAAGGGACTTTGATTTCTTTCTGGGGGCTGAAACTGTATTGTAATTTTGGTGGCAATTTGTCAGGGTGCCAATGTGGGGTTTCTCTGACACTTAGTAAGAGATTACATATTTTGGGCATGTTCAGGTCTTCATGGTCTACTGGAAAACCATCCTGCCAAAAATGCTTTTGACCCAAGGAAATGGACTTTCAGTAGAAAACATTTTTTTCCACCTCTCAAGTTCATTGTTTACCAGTTTCACCTTGAATTTGGTTGAAAGTAATTATTAGTTATTTTCTTCATTCCCCTGACTTTATAGTGGCTTACATGATGCAAAGATGATTTTAGTCTCCCACCCCCACTGGGACCCATGTTTAAAACTACTATGGATAATGGAATTTGAGTATCTTGGAGAATGAGGAACAATGCCTTAGACAAGTTTCAGGGTTGGGTTCTGTCCAGACCAGGTTCAATCTGAAATATATCTTCAGGGACCTGGGCTCTAGTCTTTGCCATGAATTTGTTGTGTGATCTTGGGCAAGAAATTGAACATCTCTGGGCTATGTCTCTTCCTCTGTAGAATAATAACTTTAGGCTCAGTGACTGGGTGGTCTGATATTCTTTGAAGTCTACAGAAAAATCTGTTTCCACTTCCATAAAATGGGGATAATGCCACTCATCTTCCTGCAAAATGCACTTCATTTCTTTTCAAGGAAATGAAGACAAAGTCACAGACAAGACAAAAACAGAGCTTATAGCTACTCTGAAAACTATGAGGGCTTTTATGCATCATTCCAACATTTGTAAGTTTCTTTATTCCATAAAGAACAAAAGAGAAAAATATAGATAACCATGGTAGATACTGCTATTTACTTAACCAGTTCCATCTACATTTTTCTCAGTGGTAGGATTTTAATTTTTTCCAGAGCTGCATTATACCTAGGTGAAGAACTCCATTGCTTAGCTTCCCTTGCAGCTAGGAGTGATCATGGGATACAGTCCTAGCCAGTGAGTTCTAGCAGAAGTTGCTGGGAGGCGCTTCTGGGAAACTCATTTTGCTACTCACCCTCTAGCAATTCTTTTTTTTTTTTTTCCTGCCTGGAATGTGGATGTGATGCCGGAACTCTGAAGCTACCTTGTGAGCCTGAGGACAAGGGGCATACATGAAGGAAAGTAGAGCAGGGTGCGGTAGAACCCAGGTCTCTGAGCATAGTGTAGGATAGCTGCCTAGCCTCAGTCTGTATACCTCCTGGCTTCCAGTTATAAGAGGGGCTCAGTTTTTCCTGGTATTTAGTTGTAGCTACATCACAAACAGAGTTTTATCCAGTCCCTGGACCCAGGGCCTGGCTAGAGTAGGCACCTGATAAATGTTTGTCAGATGCTATTATTAACTCACCTGCTTCTGTAGAATATAAGCAACTGCTCAAACCCTCCTTGGATGAACCAAATTAATTTGAAGTCAGGTTTGTCATTGTGCATCCTTTATATGCTTTACTCATTACAGATACCACTTTCAGAGGTATGTTAACAAAAGGGACCTCCCTTCTACACCCCACCCCTAGTTCCTCCTCTGAAGGCTCTGCAGATATAGCTGTCCAAAGCTCTGTATCCCTGTCCCTCTCACCTCCTCTAGCCAGTCTGTGTTGGTTCCCCCTTCTCCCGTGTCTTGAATGCCTTTCTCTCTGCTGGCTCCTTCCATCAGCATCTATACATGCTTAAACTACATGTATCTGAAAAGTGAAGCCCTTATCCCTGTCTCCTAATTCTGTTCTTCCTTCAAAGTCAAACTTCCTAAATCAATTGTCTATACCTGCTGCCTCCACTTCCTCACCCTCTACTTTCTGGATTCATTGCCTAACTCAGAGAAGACTATTTGCAGTCTATATATATCACACTTGATCCTCATTAATTCATTTTATAAATTTTCATTGGCCACTTACTATAGTCCAGGCACTCATCTAAGCATTGGGGATATAACAGTGAACAGACAGACACAAATCTTGTCCCTTTGGAGCTGATTCAAGCAGATAAACACATCAGTATTTACAGTGTGTGCACATACAATGTACTGCATATACAGTACATTATATAAGGTAGCCAGGGAAGACCTCACAGTAGAAGGTGAGGGAATAAACCTTGCAAAGAGTTTGAGGAAGCATGTTCCAGGCAGTGGGCACAGTAAGTCCAAAGTCTAGGAAGTGGAAATATGCTTGGCTTGTTCAAGGAACAGGAAGGAGGCCAGACTGGCTGAAACGCAGTAGGGAGAGAGTAGTCGAAGATGAAGTTGGAGAGGTGGGGTAGGGTTGGAGGTCTTTAGGCCATCAAGGAGAACATTGGCTTTATCTTCTCTAAGGAATTTAGGAGCCATGAATGAGAGTGCAGCCGAGGAGGAGAGTAACCTGGCTTAGGTTTTATCAAGAACCCTCTGGTGGCTGTAGGGAGAATGGACTGTAGGGAGCTAAGGAGGAAGCTGGCAGGAGGATGCAGCAATAAAACGGTGGAGAGGGGCTAGCATGGGCTCAGGTGGAAGGTGATGGTGAGGTTGAGAGGGTTGGTCTGGATGTATTATGAAGGTAGGACTGTTGGTTTGGCTATATGAAAAACATGCAATGCAGTTGCCCACCCCTTCTCCTGGAAATCCTGTCTCCATTTATCTCCTGCCTTTTCTCTGACCTCACTCTGTTTCTTCTCCCTTTCTTCATTCATATCTCAGGTGTTGGCATCCCCAGGGCCCTGTCCTAAATTCTCTTCTACCTGTGGCCTGCTCAGTTCCTCCTTCCCACATCACCTTAGTTCTTCGGTCACAAAGACCTGCTCCTACCCTGCCCCTCTCTTCAAACCTCTTTCCTCCTTGCCAGCCTGTCACTCCTCCTCTCCTCGGCTCTCACACTCTCAGCTCCAATGTTCCCTCACCCTGCCGGCCAACATGCAGGCCAAACTCCAAACTCCACCATGTGGCACCATGTTCTGACCCTGACCCGATTCTGGTTTCAGCCATAGCCACACGTGCTGTTCTTCCATTCTCAGGATGTGGTAACCTCTCCCACACCTCTGCACTCTCACACACACTGTCCTCTCTGTTTGGAATGTATGTGTGCATCTCGCCAACCTAGAAAACTCTGACTCACCCTTGAGTATCACTCAGGATGCTTTTGGCCACAAGAAACCCATGCCTCAAAGATATTTATTTTTATTTATAAAAGTCTGGAGGTGAGGGGAGCAGTGTATGTTCAAGGGCTCAACAAAGACATCAGGGACCCAGTTTTCCCCATTCTCCCACATGGCCTCCTCAGCGTGTTTACTTTCCTTTTAGAGTTGTGCTGTTAAAAAGAACTCGAACTACAAATGTGAACATGGATAAATAAGATGTGGAGAGAAGGAAACAAGGTACAAAAATGACACTTACAACTGATATAGTTGTATAAAATGCAAAAATGATGTTCATACAAAAAAAGGAGGGCAATCTGGAGGGCTCTCTGGACCACATATCAGTTATTCATGGTCCCCAAATGGCTGCCAAAGTACCAGAACTATAGAGTTGCAGCAGGAAGTGGGAGAATGGGGTACTAA